TGGATTGGTGAAGACAGGACTAGGAGATGGGGTGGGACTTGTAAGAAAGAGATGTGGTGAGTTGTGGCTCCTGGGAGGCCGGTGGGGCTGAGGAGGTACCTGGAGCTTGCGCAGTTGCTGCAGCTGACCGCGCAGGTCACTGGTGCTGTTCTGCAAGCCCCTCAGGTGCAGCTGCATCTGCAAACGGCTGACAGCAGTGGACTGCCCTGCAGGAGTGCTGCTGGCTGAGGGTGGGGGAGGGCCAGAAACTGGGGTGGCCCCGCTGCTCCGACTACCAGACCCACATGCTATAGCGAAGGACCAGGAGAATGGGAGAAAAGAGCAAAGAGCAAAGAGTGTGCCTGAGAGAGGGGCTGGGGCAACACCACCCCCACTCTGGTACACGATTCTGACTCTGTTCCTTCAGAGTGGGGAGCAAAACACCAGAGCAATGACATCTTGGACTAAGGTGACTACCCATTTATCCGTTGAAAGCCCAATGAGGCAGCTAGTGTTTGAGCCCCACTTTACAGATTAGGAAACTGAGACTCAAAGAAGAGATCATGGGAGAGGGTAGAAGGGTCCCTTACCTGCTGAGGGGGTGGCTGCTCCATTGGAGCCTTCAATCTTCTCACTGTGGCACAGGGGAAAAGAAAATGGCCATCAGGATGCCAGGCCAGGCTGGACCATCAAAGCTGATGCCATCTCCTCCAGCTCCCTGATCTTGACACAGAGTCCCAGAGCAGGAAAAGCAGGAAAGGGACTCACTCATCCAGGGTCACCCAGTGAGACACAGGCAGAGCTGAGCCCTGAGCTCCGCACTTCTGAATGCCCCAAGTTCAGGCACTGGCAGGGGTGTTGAAAGAGGGGGCTCACCTTGGGGTCTCAGGCTCTGAGCCTCGTAGTAGGGCACTTTGCACCAGGCCGGTGAGGCTGGCGATCTGCTTCTCCATGGCCTCCATGCGCTCTCTGGGGAAGAAGATGGCTTTGAGCAACCTCACCTCTGATCATGAGGTCCCATCTGCTCAGTCTTCTGCCCAGACCCCCAGAGGTACAACACCATTCCCTTCCAGGCAGCAAGCACACAATTAGACACCCAGTGCCTAAGGAGCAAGCCTCCTTAGCAAGCATCCCTCACTACTGCCTCCTGAGAGGCCCCATCCTGACCTTCATATGCTTTGCATATGTCTCCCATATCTTTCTCCCTACCACCTCTAGGAAGCCATCCCAAAGACCCAGTAGCCTGGAGGAAGTCCCTCCACATCATCCAAAGGGATTGCTTGCTTGCTTTCTCTTTCTTTCTTTTTCTTTCCTTCTTTTTTCAAGTGTAACTCCCCAATAGCAGGAGCTGGATTTTCCAATCTGGTATGAACAGAACCCTGTGTAGGGCTTACATAGGCCACAAGAGAAGTGTGTGAAAATGCATGGCTTCCCCTCACCTCTCAGCAGTGTTGTCCCAGGGCACAGGGTATCTCCTGTCCCCCACTTAGTGATGAGCCAAGCCTCCCCAGTGAGAAGCTAGGCAGCCCAATGGACTTCCCTTCCCCACACAATATCCTATCCGTTCCTACCTTCACCCTAGTGGACTTCAGCTGGACCCATGCTGGACAGCTCTCCAGCTGCACATTCTGAGTCCCAGCTTGGAAGGCACTAAGAAGGACTCGTCCAGTTCTTTGATTTCACAGCAAGGGAAACTGAGGCTAGATCTCCAGAGTCCCTCATCTGGGGCCTTCCCTCACCAGCCCCTTCGGGATTTGCGAATGGATGGGAAATGGCGGCCCATCTCTCCAGTGGTCCTCCCTGCCACCTCGGGGACCATCTGGCCTCCTTCCTCATCAAGACTACTCAGGGTCCCCCGCAGACCTCTCTGAGTCAAGCCCACCCACCGTCCCTCCGGTGCCTCTCCCAGCCACGGACACAGCCCCGAGGCTTCACGGGTGCCTCACCTGGTCTCCGTGTCCTTGGCGGGCGGTGGTCCGAACCCCACGAGGGAGCGCTCCCCGGGCCCCGGGAAGAGCTCCGGGGGCGGGGCTCCCGCCGTGGAGGCGCCCCCGGTGCTGCGGCTCTTGCCTCCGGGACTCTCGGCGAAGACGGAGGAGGATCCCGAGTCTTTGCGGAAGGACTGGCGCACGGGGGAGCCGCGGCTGGGGGGCCCCGAGTAGGGGCTGTGCGGGGGCGGGGGTCCCCCGGGCGGCGGCGCCACGTCGGCCAGCTTCTGCGGCGACGAGGGCGGCAGGCGGAAGCCGTAGCCGTCGCCGTAGAGCGGGCCCGCGCCGCCGGCCGCCTTGTACAGGGAGTCCTCCAGGTCCGACTGCAGCGCCGCCGCCGAGTAGGTGCTGAGCGAGCGCACCGAGCCGCGCTTGTACAGGCCGCCCGCGCCGGGGTAGGCGAACGGGTCCCCGGCCGCCGCCGCCAGGCTCAGGCGGCCCTCGTGCAGCAGCCCGTAGGGGTCGGCGTAGAGACCCTCGCCTTTCACCAGCACCATGCCGCCCGCCTTGCCCGCCAGGTCCTCGTCCGGCTTCACGTCCCGCCGCTCCAGGATGGCGCTGGGGCTGGGGCTGACGCCCTGGGCAGCCGGGGCGCCGCCCAGCCGCTCGGCCGCGTGGTGCACCGGGCTGCCCGCGTAAGAGGGCGGCCGTCCCCCCGCGTACGAGAGGCGTGAGCGGGATGGCGAGCCCGAGGGCAGCCCCGACGGCAGCCCCGGTGGCGGCGAACCAGACGCCAGGTGCGGGGCCGGCGACAGGTTGTTGAGGCGCCGCGTGGGCGACGACTCCCGCGACGCGTACACCATCTCTCTCTGCGCAGAAGACAGCCCCGGAACCCCGTGGGACTAGTCACAAAGGGGACCCCTCTCCCCTGGCTTGAGGAACCAGCATCTCTCCGCTGATGCTTAAGAAAAGTCCCTCCTGTCCTCTGCCTTCCTTCTCTCCGGCTGCATCTGGGGTCCCTTTCCCATCGGGGCTCCCAGCATGGGGGAGGGGGGATGACAGATGGAGAGGCTTCGCAAAGGCAACCCTCAGCCCACACCGTGGTGGGGAGTGAGGTGGGGGAAGGGGTGGCTGCTGAGAGAACTTCACAAAAATCTAGAAGCCTAGATTTTGGGACAGAGCCTAGATTTTTGGACATAGTAGCGGATGAGGGGAGCGATGCTGCCATAACCCCACAATCTAGGATTGCTTCAGTCCCCCTGTTTACCCCTCTCTAAAGTTGGCCCTGGTCCCGGGCGACAGTCCACACTTTGCCCGTCTGGACCCCACCTCCCCAGCCTCTCCCCTATACCCTGGCCATCCCCGGAGCCATACCCGGAGGTCTCCGTTGGTGAGGTGAGAGCCAGGGAAAGCAGCGTACAGAGGCTCTTTCCTATAGATCTTGATAATACTGCGGTCCTGGATGTCTCTGGGGGAGGAAAGGGGTGCAGAGGGTCACCACGCAGCCCATCTGCCCTGCACAATGAGGAGGGGACAGCTACTCCCAGGAAAGAGATGAAGGATCTGGACACCCCAATCCCTTGTAAGTCCTTCCCTCGGTGGCTGCCTGCCACCAGCACACGCAGCAGTCTCCACCCGATCTCTCCCTCGGCCACAGGAGCCATTTTCAGGTCAGTTCAGGTCCTGATGGACCAGCAGGGGTGGAGGATTTAGCAGGGAGGGGGATGCAGGCAGAAGGAGGGTCAGGAAGAAGCTGGGAAAGGGTTTCTCGGGTCCTTCCGAGGATTTGGGGGAAGTCCTCCCATCCATCCCGCTCGGGGCCACGCCCACCGGACATCCTCCAGCTCGTAGAAGACGTTGCGCGCCTCGTCTTTGATGAGGATGGCGGTGTTGGGCGACTTCAGCATGCCCATGGTGAGCTTCTGCGGGAACATGTGCGCGATGAGTGCGTGTAGCGTGTCCAGGCTGCTGACCTCGTGCGTGATGTGCACGCGCCGCGTCTCCTCCCCAAACTGCAGGAACAGCACCCCTGCGAAGGAGACGCCGCCCCTGCGGTCAGCACCAGCGCCACCTCCACCTCCATGCCGCCCTCCTGGAGATCGAGGATGGGTGTCCGGAGCTGCGCTGGTCCCCGTCCCGCAGTGGCAAGGTCTGAGGCCAGACGCCGCCCCCGAGTGCAGGTGCACCCAAGCACTCTTCATGCTGGGGCGTTAGGCGGCTGGGCAGTCTCCCCCAAAACACCCAGCTCGACCCCAGGCAGCTAGAGCCTGGGAAGTGGAATTAGAGAAAGGATGCCACAAGAAACAGGATGGAAAGCTGGAGAGAGAAGTGGGAAGAAAGGGCTGGAGGAAAAGGAGAGGAAACCTGCCTGGAAGGGAAAGGGCTTGGAGGGAAAAGAGGGTTGTGGGGTGGGGAGGGGGAACAAGAGTCTGAAAGAAGAGGAGGGGAGTAGAGAGCTCAGGATGGAGAGGCCCACTAAGGGGACTGCTGGGGGAGGTAGATCTGTGCTGGAGGAGAAATCCAGCCAGAGGGGAGCGAGGGAGAAGAGTGGAGGGTGGAGCTTATGGCCTGGAGGGAAGATGGACAGGTTGGCCAGTACCTGGTGAACGAAGCTTGGTCTGGCTGGCAGAACGGGAGAGGGGCAGGCTCTGTCGGAAGCGGTTCATCCTGCTGAAGCCCAGGGGCAACTCTGCCTCCGACATGGTCTCCAGCGACTCAGCCGAAGCGTAGGACAGCTTGGCTGCCTGGTCTGCCAGCCCTGGCTGCGCTCCCTGAGTGTGGCGTGAGCTGCGGGTCTGCAGGAGCAGGGCAGGGTGAGATATATCAGCTCTGCTGTGCTTGGCCGCCACCACTACCTCCACCTCCATCCATCTAGGCTCAGGAAGCCCCCTGCCACCAGCCAGCATCTCTCTCTCTCTCTCTCTCTCTCTCTCTCTCTCACACACACACACACACACACACACACACACTCAGGAGAGTCTCTGAGGTTCCAGACTCATGGGGTAGCAGCAGAGCTGTAGCCTCCCAGCAGGTAAGCAGTGGGCAAAGGACTCAGGCACCCTGGGAAGCCAGACAAGAAGCACCTGAGCAGGAGCCATGGGCATGCCTGCTATTTTAAGCCAGCAAAGAACAACAACACAAATTTGTCACCGAGGTGAGCAGCAGAATCGTTGAGCAAATTGGGACATTAGTTCCAGACATTAATTAAGCGGCGGGTTTGTGAGCGGCGAAATTTATTCTTCCTGGAGTTCAGAGGATTGGGGTGAGCTAGGAAGCTGGGGCCCAGGGAGAAAGCAGAGTGATCGAAGGCCCCCAAGGTCCCAGTGGTAGAAGTTGTGGCCCTTGCAAAATGGGGTGGTGAGAATGTCCTTGACTTAGAGTGGCTAGGACAACTTTTCTAAACCCCAGAGAGCCAGCAGGACCCCAGCATCAGACAGACCACCTGTGGAGTACACATAGCGCACACATGAGCACATGCATAGGGACCAAGCTCAGCCCCTCCCTGCCACACAGCCAGCAGTGCCCAGCATGACAATGCCTTGCCTGCACTATAGCTGAGGGTGGGCACTGGCTGGGTCAGGAGGGGTGTCACAGGACAGCTTGATTTCTGTCTCATAGGAGGCCATGTGTTTCACTATAGTCTCAACTGTACTTTGAGTCTATTTTTGGCTCAAGCCTGGGGCTGTCACCCAGGCCACAGCTCCTGCCATTAGACCCCAGTATCTCCCCTAATGCCTAGTTGTTATGCAGAAACTCAGTTATTTAAAACAGTAAGATGATGTATATATATATATATATAACATATATATATATAATGTATATACATATACATACACACAGTTATAGTTACCAAAAGAACATGCTGCCCAATTGTATTTTCCTGTAAAATAAATTATTTTTAACAACATACCACTCAAAACCACTAATATTGGCTAGATTATATCCAGGTTGCCAGAGAGAGCTTCCTTTTTTCATTTTCTACATTTCTATTAAAAATTAAGTGGATTTTGCCCAATCAGAATATATTACTTTTATAATTAAAAAAGACAACAATAAAAGTATCTCTACAAAGGAGTAATTTATTCTCCTCTTCAGCTCCCTTTTTCCCCAAATCCTGATTAACCCCTAATTAATCTCCACTTTCCTATTAGCCCAATGTAATGTTCCAATTAGATTAGAACTCTCGAAAAGAGAATGCATCTTCCTCTCATGGGCAGTGTGCCCAGTTGTTGCGAAAGTGTCCTTGAAGGTTTGGGGATGTGGAAGATCAGATTTGGGGGCTAGCAAGGGTCGTCCAGCCTCAAGTACAATGTCTTGACCAGTGGGTGAACATGGATCTTGGGAAGAAGTGAGGTAGTGTAAGAATTGTGCTCATTTGAGGAAATCTTTGCTCAAATTTATCTCCCATGGCACAGAGCTCTAAGCTGACCACCAACACCAGGTCGTGCCCCCCCCACCTTCAGTCCCAGTGAAGCCACAGTTGGGGATCTCTGTAACAGTGTTGGGTGGGCTGATGGGCATGGGGTTGCCAGGCAACTGAAAGGTCAGCATTTGCTAGGCTGAGGAGCTACAGAAGGAGGCAGCTAACAAGGAGAAAGAGTAGAAGGGGCCTCCAGGCCAGGTCAGGGGCACATGAGACACTAGGAAAATTGGAACAGGCAGAATGAAGGGAGTGAGACTCTGGGGGGTAGCTGACTATAGAAGGAGGAATCCTGGGAGGACAGATGGCTACATCCCCTTTACCACTTGCTCCTGCCTCCATCCAAACCCCATAGAAACACTGCCATCCTCAGAGCATCCACAAAGCCCTCCCAAAAAGAGGCAGAGACTGGGAGCCCTGCTCTCCATCTCTAGGCAGAAGAAAGTAAGACATGTTAGAAGAACTTCCCTACCAACAGAGAGATGGCAAGAGAAGGAAACAGTGGCCCAAGCAGAGCTCCCAAAGACAGGAAAGGGACTGCCCTGGGAGGCAGTAAGCACTTCCAGGACCAGCTTCCCAAAAGCAGTCCATGGACTGGAGCAGAAGTACTCAGGTGCTTTGACAAACTCTCTTCCAGGACCCCATGTTCACTACATCAGTCTCTGTGGGCTGAAGCCTATGGTTTTAACAGGTTTCTATGATGATTCTGGTATCCAAGTGTTAGAATCAGATCATCATCCGTGATTCTGACAGCTGCTGAGTTTAGGTTCTGGTAAGGCTTGCCTACGACATACATTTTCTCATTTTTTTTTTACAATAATTCTATGAAGCAGACACTGATCCACTTCATAGAGGAGAAATCAAGGCCCGGGGAATTATGTAAATTGCCCCTAGGTCACCAAGCGAGTTAATAGTAGATGGAATTCCCCACCAAGCTCAGCTTGTCCGGCTTCAGGCCTGTGTATTTAACATCACTGTCTCCCACCTCGTCCAGAGAAGCTGAGCTGACAATAGGATCCATAAGGTTCTGATTCAAGCACCTCCTTGCAAGGCTCTGGCAGAATGTGTGCAAACAAGATACTTGGTGTGTCTGAATGGTGGCCTCCCATACCCTGCCATGATGCCTGGGATTTTAGGAGCCAGGGACTCCAGGAAACATACAGCAGTCTAACCAGAAAAGAGAGATAAGAGAGCCTAGGGGTCAACAGGTTGTCTAGCTCTCCTGCTCTGAATTACCTAAACTTCTCAGGGGAGACATGGTTAGGTCCCACCCCCGAGTCTGGTCCTCTATATACATGTAGGTTTAGGGATACAAGACTGGGAATGGTCATTCCTGGCACCAATCAACTCCCCTATGATGAAAAGCCAAAACAAGGAAGTCACAGGACAGCCTAAGGAAGTGAATTTGGGGGGAGGGCGTGGGAAGGGAGGCTGTGGGGCTTGAACTTAGGGCCTGGGCACTGTCCTTGAGCTTTTTGGCTCAAGGCTAGCTAGCATTCTACCACTTGGAGCCACAACACCATTTCCAGTTTTCTGATGGTTAATTGAGATGAGAGTCTCACAGACTTTCCTGCCCAGGCTGGCTTCAAACTACGATCCTGAGATCTTAGCCTCCTGAGTAGCTAGGATTACAGACATGAACTGCTAGTGCCTGGCTAGGAAGTGAAATTTGATGTCAGGGAACAGATCCCAAAATAATACCCTGGTTCCAAGTCTCTATCCTAGCCAGCAGTCTCAGCCTTTCTCCTTCCTAGTAGGATAATCTTCTACAGTCCAGATGTCCACCAGGACCTTATTCTGGATCTATAAGTCCCTGGCAGGTGAACCCAGACTATCCCAAAGCAGCAGCCACAGCCAACAGCCCTGGGTCCACCTCCCGCATCACAGGGGACCCGTGCAGACGCACACCCGGTGCAAAGCATGTGCAGGGGAGAGGCAGGGAGGGGCAGCACATGCAATTGTCATGGGAGCAGAAGCATCACACACTGACCTTGAAACTCCAGTAGTTTGGCTGCTGATGGAAATAAGAGAAGAGATGGTTATGAGGAGGTAGGAGGTAAGGCACAGGTTTGAGACCCTTGGAGAACTCGAGTTTGTTCCACAGCCCTCCACCCCACTCCCAAAAGCAGGAAGGAAGGAATGCTCATCTCGTTTCCTATGAAATATATCTCATTCTCTACTGAGACCCCAACATCCTGGTGCACTCAGGATGGACAGGCTTTTAGTCTGCTGGATGGCAGGGGTGGAGGGAAGGCAGGAAAGAACATTCCAATGTTTGCAAGCCACATTATAGCTATAGTAAGTGTTGTCAGAAACTTACAGTTAGGAAGAAAAGCACAGATGACTGTAATGCAGAGAGTCCACAAGACAGTTAAAAGAGGGGAAGAATTCATGTGGACTTTGAGGTCAGAGAGATGGCACCTGGTTAGGGGAGGCTGAGTAAATTTTCCCGGAAAAGATGGCATTTGAGATGGGTCTTAAAAATGGAGTCACTGGAGACTGGGAAGAAAGTCATGTGAAGGGGAAGGGGAAGCATGGGAGGGTGGCCAGGGGCAGGCAGGCAGAAAGAAAGAGTGAGGAAGTGTAGTCTGCATACCAGTGGGGCTGGAATGCAGCCTAATCTGCCATTTCCCAGGCTGCAAAGGCACTGGGGCAGGACACTGAGAATAGTGTGGTGATCCAGATTTAACTGGGTGGGCAAGCGAGAAACACACAAATGGGGCAGAGTGGAATCAGAACAGGATTCCAACAGGGCTGAGGAGAGGGAGTAGAAGAGAGTGGCTGAGGTTTCAGACAGAACAAGCAGGCCTGTGTGACTGGATGGGCTTGGATTGTGGAGAAAAGTGGATACCAATGGCCTCCTTGCACTGGGCAAAGGATGGAGAGCTATGAGCAGCAAAGGGAGTTGGGGTGTCTGGGAGACAGTGCAATGCCTAGGGCTGGTATGCTGACAGAGGAGGGTTGTAAGAGGGGTGGGGACTGAGACTGCTCCCCCTCATTCACAGTCACCCAGGGCCGCCCTGCCTTCCCTAGAGACCAGAAGGCCCTTCCAGATGGCTAGGGACAAGGAAGGAGCAGTCCAGAGAGCACGCTGGTTCTTGGCAAGGCTGAGGGCACCCTGCTGACCCGGGCCAGGCTCAGCAGGACAGAGGCAGCAGATGGCCGGGCCCTGGGGTGCCTGGCACAAACAGACAAGATTCCCCAGGCCTCAGAGTCACTGGCAGAGGAGAGGGACATTGGGAGATATCCCTGAAGGGGGAAGGACATGAAGCCACATGGCCTGTGCCATGTGAATGCTTTTGTGGCAATAAGTTGCAGAATCACCTAACATAGGCTTAGCTGAGGCACCCCACCTTGGGGTGGGGGTGACACTGGGCTGGAGGTGAACTAAAGAAGTTGACTTGCCAGGACCCCCCCCCCCCACAACACACACCAAGCCACAACTGCCATTTCTCCCGCAGCGATGGGATGAAAGAAAAATGGCCACATACCAGGCAGAAGAAGAGGACACAGAGCATGTGCCCAGCCATTGCCTGGACTAGCCAAGGACCAGTGGATGCCCACAGGTGCTGAGGGGAGGATCCACGGTGGGCCCTGGCCAGAGTTACAGTTGCTTTTGGCCTTTGAAGGGTAGGGGAAGGAAGCAAAGGGAGGAGACACACAGGAGGCAGCAGAAACAGGCAGAGGACAGTGGAAGGTTTACGATGAGAGCCAGGTCTGCAGACCCGGAGTGATAAACGGCTCTGCAGAGGAGGCCTTGCCCCTCACCCACCTCTACCACCACACCAGGCTCAGGCAATGGACACAGGGGCCACTCACAGCTCCCTGGAGCACTGAGCCTTCCACACAAGGACACATGGACTCTCAGATACATCCTTAAAGGATGTCACAAACACATTCAGAGCAAGAACACCCAACCCACGAAGGCACACAGCATGTAGAGAGAAGCGGTGAGAAACAAATCTAGCAACTCAGAGCCATCCATTCAGAGACCACCCCCCTTGATGCACACCGAGATCCCCAGGACTGTGACTCAATCACACTGTCTCACAGACAGATACACCCAGTCCCTGAACATCAGGTACACCCATCCTCAACATACATTAAAGTCACAGATAAAAACAGGGGTACTCCCATCCCCCCCTCACACACACATACACACACACACACACACACACCACACACACACACACACACACACACACACACACACACTACTCAGGCTACAGAAACACAGAGTAGCACACACATAGCACGTGCTCATGGCCTCACAGAAAAAGTCCTTAATCCCTTTCCCCCTACTAGCTGGTCAGGAAGCTTCTGACTACCTTAGCCAGACATGATGTTTCGGAGATGTGATCTCTTGAATTAAGAGGCAGGTGTTCTATCCCCAATCCTGCACTGATCTCAACACAGTGGACTCGGGGTACCTTGTACAGATCACCTGATTCACCCTGCTGTTCCTGGAGGGGAGACAGAGGTAAACCCTGGCCATGAGGGCTATGCCCTGAGTTCTAAGCCTGCCTACATCCACTGGTGGTCACCTGGTAGGAACAGGTCACAAAGGGGCCCAAGGGAAAGGTTGTAGTGGCATCGGTGGTCCAGGTCAGCCTAGCCCCAGGAAAAGGTGCAGAAGGAAGAGGAGCATTGGTGCTCCATGAACTTAGATGGATGGATGAGTAGTGTTAAGATGCTATCCCAGGACTTCTGGCTCTGAACCTCAGCATGCCTTTTCCTACCTCTTTCCTTTGTCCTGTGTCCAAAAAGTGGGGAAAATAATCCTCTTCCAACCAGCCCCACCAGGAATGAGGTACATAGTTTCCTGGCAACTCACTACCCTTGGAGGAGGAAGAGGCCTCTGTGGAGACCAACCATCCTCTCGTCTCTTTCCAGGAGTTAACCCATGGGACAACCCTGGGTGGCTGAGATCAGAGGCTCCTCCCCTCTTCTCCAAGGAGGACACTCCCAGTCATTCTTCACCCAACTTCCAGTCCGTTCTGAGTTATTTCTTCCTCCTGTGCTGTGCCCAACAGTGTCTAGTATATAGCCGGCCCTGAACAAATAGGTGGCAATGAATAAATGCCAACAAAATAAGACCAGCCCGTGGGGGAGGGGTGACTGAATACTCAGCCTGGCCCTTTTCCCTTCATCTCCATCTTCTGGCACAAGTGCCTTTCAGTTTTCTGGGTTCATTCCTTGGGAATCTCCCTACATGAGAAAGCCCCTGGAGGGAAGGCAGAGGGCAGGAGTGCCTCTGGGATCTTTCTGCTCACCCCAGCAAAAACCACACACACACACACACACACACTCACACACACACACACACACCTCAACACTCAACACCAAGGCCAAGCTATGCCCTCTCCTACACTCAGGAAGGGCTGGGCTTTCCCAGAAGTCAGGAAGAAGGTGAAGAAGTGGGGGGGGGGGGTCGGGGAGGCTGCAAAGGAAAGGCCAATGCCTAGAGCAAAGCTGCAAAGAAGAGTCCTACAGAGGCTGGGGCGACCTGAGAGGGCACTAAGAGGGTAATATGGAAGCCAGCCATGCCTCAGAACAAGGATTTCCATCCATGGGGGAAGGGACTTCGGCAGAAACCCAGGAAAGCAAACTAACTCCCTGAAGAGCAGAAAAAACAGCTCTGCCCATCCCTCTCCCCCTCCCCAGCCACTCGCCGTGGGCTACGGTCCCTCCCCCTGCAGCTGGCTGAGTCCTCGCAACCCCAGCTCTGGGAGGGGCGGGGACCGAACCCCTCTAGTGAGCCTTAGCCCCATGGGGGAGGGGGTCCTCCCCGCACCTCCTCAGGGCCAACATTCTCAGAGAACTAGGTGAGTGCATGACCCCTCCTTGACCCCAAGCCCCGACGACCACCCACCCTCCAGGGAAAAGAGACAACCATTGGGTTCGCACCCCCCTCCCCCCCAACCAGCTCCTAAATCTGACTCCGCCAGCCGGGCGCACACACCCACCTCTCAACTCGGGTGAACACGAGCCTCCGTAAACAGGCGCCCCTAGCTCGAGGGGGTTCACGGCGCCCCCCCCCGGCTCCGCGCGCACGCGCGACCCTCCCTGCCTCCCTCCGCGCCAGGACCGACCCCGGTTCCCGCCTGCCCGGCGCGGCGCGCGCGCGGAGGGGGTGTGCTTGCTGCAGGAGCGGCGCGGGGGCGAGGGTGCACCCCGGGAAGGTCATGACTTTCCGAGGCTGGGGGACGGGGGGGGCGGAGGAGGGACGGGGACGCCTGCCGCATTTTGGAGGTGGGGGCTGGCCCACATGGAAAGCACCTGATGCGGCGGGGAAAGGAAGGGGGTGTTTTTCCGAGATCGGGAGACCCGCAATGACGGCGCAGCCCCCCACCCTCCAACCCTGGACCGCCCCTCGTTGCTACGGAGCCGAACCCCAAGTCCGTGTCCCCGCCCCGCGTCGACCCGTCCCTCAGAGCCGCTCTCCCCGCCCCCCCCGCCACCGCCCCCAACCTTACCTGCGGCTACAGGTGTAAGCGCGGGGGCCCCCAGCCCCAGATCCTGCGTCGGGCGGGGGAAGGGAGGGCGGCCCCCTACGCCCACCGCCCCGGCTCTCCCCTCCCCCGGCCGCCTCCGCCGCCGCC